TCCGGGAATCTTATCTTTCGAAATCTTTCGCAAACATCTTCCGAGACCTTGAAACTATTTTTCAGTGAAAAAGTTTACCGCTCGCGAGAGCTGTCCGATAAATTTACGAAACTATTTTCTCCGACGCTTTGAGAAATAAATCGCGCTTTTAATCTCAAAGTTTCTTATAAATTCGAGAAAGGGAGAGAGAGAGAGAGAGCTGCGACTTCAAAGGACCACGATTTCTAAACAGTCGTCAAAGACGCGAGAATATATAAGTTTTGAAAAGAAATTGCCAGATTTGAACCTACTTTATCGCGTAAAGACAGTCTTCTCTGAAACGAGATACCGCGGCCATTTCTTAATAACGTATCCCCTTTAATCCACCACTAACCCTGGGCGGAAACGTAATACCCCTGAGCGCCTCACCATATGACACCGGAACGACGAAATATTGCAACCGACTTGGCCTTCGTCCGCCATTAAAACCTCCGTATATCGCATTAATGCAATATCGAGTTACGCCCTACGGAAAGAACTTAAAGTGCTTCCCCTCTTCGGGATCGTGCGTATGATCGTCGTACTCAAATTCGTTTCGGTTCTCCCGCGTGAAAAGTATTACGTCACTTTTCTACGTCGTTAGCTATTATCTATAGAATTGTCTAATATCGGAAAGAAGATTGCATTTGATATCTCAAAAGACTCGAGAATGCAAGGATTAAGAAAGGTCGAGTTGCGAAGACGTTGTCATTTAAATAAGATTTGAGTATAACGATGTTATTTATGTGCCTATTATGAAAAGGAGATTCTCTCAAAGTTAAATGAAAGTCTCTCGCTCTCTCTCTCTCTCTCTCTCGCCGATTGCAGGATCCTTAGATTTCGCGCGTTCTCAAAGAAGCCGAGGGAATTTCAACTCGAATACAAATTTAACTTGCACGCGTGCGCGATATAAACATAAAGCCGGAATGTATTCAGAGAGCGAATCGACGCGATAGTTATGCGATTCCTATTCACGGTACTCTCGATCCGTCGTCGACCAACAAATTCCCATCGTCATTAAACTCGAAACTCCGTCTAGCGTAAAGGAGACTCGTACACATTTTCCTTTATAAGCGATACACCTCACCCTCGTCTCTGGCGGGTAACAGAATAGAACTTACATGTGCACCGACGTGATTCGCTTCGAAAAGTGGGTCGTCTCGGTGCGGCACCTGCGCTATGCATCGTCGGTCATAGTTGAATAGAGGGAGAAGGACGAGATGCAGTCGCATCTCGGCGCTATCCTTTAAGGATTTCATTCGTTTTCGTGTCGAGGCCGAGTGCCTCTATAGGACGGTACTATGACGCAAGTCGGTACCGACCGACCCTGTGAGGTCTTCGGAATCGATACCGACTGACCTTGAGCCATTTTAAGCTCACCCGTTATATCCTCTGCGGCAGAGCTCGCGGCAATTCCGTTGCAGTTCCTTCTTTCCCCTCCAACGCGACCTACAAATTTGAAGATTATCGACGAATTGCGAAAAATTAAGAAAATTTCAGATATACCAGTATAAATCTAAGAATTTTTAAACTTTAGAATTAAAAAAAAAAAAAGATTAAATCAAGTATCCGTCTTAGAATTTGCTTAAGTATAATGCGCGGAGAGAGGACGCGATTTCTTCGTGTGAATATACAAAGTTATATGATGTCTTTCATATTTATTATTATGTCTTGAGCAACTCTACACGGAAAGACATTTCCGCGTGAAGTTTGTCCGCTGTCACACAGCGTAGCAGCTTTAAAATACAAGTTTCACCTGGCAAATAGTACTTCAAGTTCGCGATTCTTCCCCCAGAGTTAACTTGATATTTCTCTTCCTCCGCGCGGTGCACTGCTTCCTTAGATTCAGGAAACCCCGGGCGCTGTCTTCATCTCGAAATAATCCGGAGTGGCTCGAAGATGTCTTAGCATCCCGGCCATTTGTCTTGCCGGCCGTTCGGTCGGGATCATACGCAATATGTCGCGGAGGGTGGCACGTTTTGTCCGAGCACGACGAGGGAGAACGGTTTAGACGACCAAGGGGTGGAAAGGGTAAGCCGCGGATGAAGGACTGCAGCAGCATTGGCATAACCGATGGACCGCCTCGCCGCTCGATGAATCATGGACTCTCTCTCAAACTCGAGCACCGTCGTCTTACCGCTACGATATATCGGCGCGAGTATCTCACGACGTGCGAAGCATATTTAAGATGCGGAACTTCAAACAGAAGCACCGGTAATCCGGGGACCCGAGGGATAAGGGCTGTACGTATATCCCGGATTTTCCGAATTTAATACACAAATACGGAAATGGGGAATTTTAGGAATCGCGGTTCTCTCGCGAATTTTCAGGTACCTTCGCGCAATTCACGCTTTAGAGATAATCGAATGTTTTCAGATTTTGTATCTTTATAAAACTTGATTTTTAGAATCCTCATAAATCTCATGAATTTTATATGAGAGTTTTATAAGGATTCTAAAAATTAAATTTTATATTAAAGATACAAAAGCCGAAATTTAAATTGTTAAAAACATTCAGTTTTCCTCGTATTCATGGAATATTCATGAAATATTTTATATATTTTATTTATATTAATTGAATATTTAAAGTTCGAAAAAATTGAACAGCAACAGTATCGGCACTCGATGCAAATCACGTGCTTTATTGATTTGCTTGTTCATCAGATACATGTATAATAGGGTTACTAGATGTTGAATGTTCCTCTCCACTGTTAACCTGCAATAATGTGAGCGTAATATGCGAATCGCAAATAAAGTGGTTCGCATCGGTATTGCTTGACGCAAGCGATTAGTTTGTCATGCGATAATAGTGATAAATCGTATTATTGACGTTGTTACTGTTATTATCGCACTTAAAATCGATCGTACAGCTACCTCTTCACTCTTTATCGTTATTACTCAATGTTTTGAACTTCAAAACATGTTTGAAGATTAAAAAAAAGAACCGCCGTCGAATCTCAATCTCGAAGAATATTTCACGTAATTCCGCGTATAAATTTTTATGTATAATTATTAGCTACAATTTTGTGCATTTTTATCGTAGCCTCAGTTATGATTTATGCGAACGTAGACAAATATAATGCGATATTTGTTTCTTCTCTCCGTTTTGAAGCGATCAATTAAGAAAACAACGTACCGTAAATGCGGTAATTAGTAAAGCAATGTCGGGAGAATAATTTTTCTGTTTAAACGTGAACGCGCGGAGATGAACGAGACGGGTTATTATTTCGTAACGTTTCTTTTTCAAAACGCTTTCAACCGTCATTTCCGTAAATCATCCGGTCCGAGCTGTTACTTCGTAACGGGCAAACTCGAGTAATTGCCCAATCAAATCAGCTGTCAGCGCTCTGTAACCCAGTTACACGTTCTGTGCGTTATACGCGCGGTCGCAAGTGATCATAGTTGATACAAGCAATTTAGAGGTAATGATCCCTCCAACAATGTCACCGACAAAAGTGGAGTTGGTACTTTTCGCAATGATCCGTATCGTGTTTTACGTCCCACGCTTCGCACGTACCGCTTAAAACGATCGTGCGGTTTTCTTTACGGAAAACTAAATATAACTTTTGCAATTTGGTATTCATTTCAGAATTTCGTCAAACGTAAAATATATTTTCAAGATATATTAAAATTATTTAAAATTACTGCGTTGTACGTGTTTGAAGGATGTATAAGATGATTCAAATATAATCCGAGAATGTCGGAGCGCTCGATCGAAGATTTGGGAATCTGAAAATTTTATGGCTTAGATAGTACAATCAAGAGATTAAACCGTCCAAAGCTCGTAATACTTTTATAGGTCTATTGAAGATCCAAAGGCTGTCGATTCTGAGAAGGGAGACGCAGACGTTCGTGACGGGACGAAGACGAACGAGCTTTCTAAAATAGTGTTCCATTGTATATTCTCTCTCTCTCTCTCTCTCTCTCTCTCTCTCTCTCTCTCTCTCTCTCTCTCTTCTCCGCCGTTACGATATTTCTCACTCGGACGCGCGCGCTGAATTCGAAAAGTGGCGGGGCATAAATTATTTATGGCGGCGCGCCTCATTGCCCGCATAAATATTGGGATTCGCCGTGAGCAATCGGTTTCCCTCGTGCGGATGCTGCGGAGGGTAAGCTCCGGATAGACCCTAGGGAAATGCTTGTTACGGGGCACTGCCGCGGGCACGTGCGGTTTCACTCTGGAATATACCAGCAAGGACGCTGCCGAGCTTCATTTACGGACAGACTATTCCGAGGATCTAAAAGATCCCGACGACGCGATGACGCAAATGTGCTCCATTCAGATATTGCGCGGTTAAAGATTCTAGCGTTGAAAAATTCACAAGAAGCTGAACTCTTTAATTCTTGCCTATTCTTAGACTTTTCAATACCAGAAAAATTTAAAACCCGTTTTATATTTCAATTGAATCTCCCGCGATAAATATTTTCTCTCTTTGGTATAATATATACGATCTTTTCGGAAAATAGGAACGTTATAGTTTTATTGAAACAATTTATTTTTAATTTCTTATATATCAATCTTGTCATAAGCTTACTTAACGTTATGATCTAGTTACCCAATTGCACACTAAACATTTTCTGGATTTGTTTTACGGAACAATTTCTTCTATAAAAAAAAAAAAAAAAAAAAAAACGCTTGACAATTTGTGAATCTCTTTGTGACGCTGCATTCCTCGCGAAAAAGGATTTAAACGAAGCATTTTCTCGACAGTAAACACGTCCGGGCTACAAAACACTTATTCGCCGTCAGAAGCTTGCGTGACGACATGCAGAGCGTCGCTTCCATTCTCCAGAAAATAAAGCAGAAATTACATCCGCGCGGGTCACAGTCGCTGCTTAGCGGCGCGCAGACTTGAATTAACCTCAAAAGTACCCAACCTAACCCCCCGGTACATCGTTCTTGCCGTTGACCTTGTTGGAGGGAGAGAGTCCAGCTAATTAGCTCCGACTCAAAGAGCGCAAGTTGCAAGTGCGGTGGTTCAATTTCATACCTCTTTGCCCGTGAGTCGCAGCAACCCCCTTTTCATCCTTCACTCCTTTCCATGAGATACGCGTAAAAATCTTGCAAGTACCTGAAAACATAAAGGAGAGAAGTAAGAGAGAGAGAGAGAATCATCGGAGAGGTTCCGGATGAAAAGGAACATTGTATCGTTGCGATTTTGCCAGACGCCTCGGTTCCTCCATTTGAATTATTAAGTCTGGCAGAACGCGTCGTGAGGCTTCTTTTATATTTATCGCGCCGGAAAGGTTTGCTCTTTGGAGAGAAAACACGAGCGCGAGCGGTTGACGAGGAAAAATAAGAAATCAGCGAGTCCTGATTGTTAACAAGTGTAATTAGGAATTTATTATTGCGTTTCTTTAAATAATTGTGAATAGAGTAATTTTCAAATTCAAGGATTTCTGCATCGTAAAATATGAAATTCATTATATTGGATATTTATAGATACATTTGTGCAATTTTTCTCGTCTCGCGGTCATCTAAATTGAATTACAGAAACGTGTCATAGTGTGTTGCGTGTTTTAAATTCAAAGCATCGCGAGCAGGTTTTGGGTGGATCTTCATCGGTGCGAGGGACGGATGGCGAGGGTATCGGCGACGCTTCCTCTTGAATAACAATGATTAACTCGCGACACCCTTTGTAAGAGATCACTCGACCGTGGAATCGCAACGAATACGAGGGGTGATTAATTACGCGTTTACGGTTTATTCGTGCGTGGCTCTCGCGGTTTAATCGAACACCCGCGACATGTAATTGCATGAGAGGATCGAATTAATTCAATCGAGGGTGTAACAGACCGACGGAAACTTGTAATAATCGCATATCAAATAACCGCGACTGTTTCGCGGGGGTCGTATATAACGTCCGCGAATGCTTTTTGCATCGGAAATTTCATTAACTCGCGCGGAATAAACGCACGCGGAAATTCGTTATTCGGCGACGCGAGAGAAATGTTGTCGTCGCGTAAAAATAGAGGGGCGCGATGCCTCCGTTCTATCTTCGGAGTTTTACAGCCCCGGCGCCGGCGAGAATTCGAATGAATTTTGGAAGAATCGCGCGCACCAGCGCGCGACGCTGATTTACGACGCGAGGGAGGGAGGAGGCGAGGAAAAACGGGGATGAGAACGGGTGAAAAGTCAAAAATAACGCCGGAAGCTTTACCGTTTCCGTCAGCGTGTCAACGCACCTACTCTTCGATCCGTTGACGGATGAGCAACCGACGCGACGCGTCGGAAAAATAGAACGGGAGAAAAAAGAACGCGCGACTAGAGAGGATGCCGTGAACGACGGATTCGGGGAAAAAGCGGGAAAAATCGCCCGATTCTCGCCGAGGCAGCGTCAATTTTATTTTATTATCCTCGATTGTCTCTCCGCCATCGCCCCGACTCCCTCTTCGGGATTTGTTATCGGACGTCGTCGATGCAACCGGTGATTATTATTACTGTTCTCCGTCTATATGCGCGCCCGGATGATTCGTCGGATGAAGCTTGATTGCTTTTCCGTTCCACTTCATCATCCTTTCGCGCTCCTTAAGCTCGCCTCGCACTCTATGTACACGCAAAAGAAAATATCCGGAAATGGGAGAAAAATAAATATTTAACAATATATATATATATATATATTTAAGATGTGTATTAAAAGTAAATAGATTTTGATATTTAAAATTGCGTGCACGGTCGAATTCTCATTCTCCAAGTTTTGAATAAAATGAATAATTGAAAAAATTGTTCGATCCGTCTAATCTTCGATTCTTCATTTTTCATAAGTGAACGCCTCAATAAATGCATTGTTCGTTCCCGCTGCGAGTTCAACGGTGGAACGGACGACCGTCTTTTTGGTCCTGGATACGGCATAAAATTCAGTAGAGTCGTTTCCGTTTACCGATCAATCTATCAATCAAGCTGGCGCGGTTCAAACGCAATAACAGCCGTCGCTGTCTCTCCTCGAGTCGACGGCGTGGCACGGGAAACTTTGATGGAAATTTTACAAAAAGTGAGAGATGGGTGGATCGATATACGTTCTTTATTATAGATTTTATCGAGAAAATACTTCTGGTAGAATTCATTAAAATATAGCGGAAAAAATATGAGAGAACGAGAGATACAATCAGAATCGTCAAATTATATTGCAAAATTCTAAGATAACGAAAAGAACGATTTTACTTATTTCAATTTATAGATTTCAATTATTCTAGAATTCAAACATGCCGCATCTCTGCCAATTTTATAATTAAAAAAAAATCAAAAGATCCAAGTATAATATCAAAGATTAAAAATTTTTAAAAGCTAAACACGTATTCTGCATTAAAGACATATTATATCCCTAGTTGAGAAATGATCAACCCTGCTCAAAGCGCACACGTTAATGGAGATAATTGGCTTAATCGAATGTTGCCCTTTCAACGATGGCGCGCGGTCCGTCTACTTTCGTTCTCCCTATTCCAAGTTACCTTCGTCCTTCGCGAGTGAGACACGGCGATAAAATCACTTTAATTATCACATTAGCGAGCGCGGCGCCGAGACAACGGGACCTGACGCTCCGCAGACGCGAGACAGAATTTTTCATCCTAACGAGAACGGCAAGTCTTCGGGCAAATTTAATTAAGCGATCGAGGGAGCGAGGCGAGATGTGCAGCATCCACTCCGGCTCGTCCGAACCCGGCGTGTCCATCGTCCGGAGTTGACGGTTCATCGAACAAAGAATGGTGACGATAATTGGAGCTGCTGCGAAATGAAGCCTGTAATTGCCATTCCCGTAGCCGGATCAACGTGTTAGATTCTCTCTCGCCATTCTTTCCACTTTCCGAGCGCGAACTTTATTCGCATAATAGAGAGGGGGATTAAGTTTATCGGGTCTTCGTCCGTAACGAAATTCGCAGAAACGCTGAGAACTATTTGAAAACTAAGCAAAGTTAGCTCGAGTTTTTTTACAAAGTGCCGGATTCAAAAATAATCGATACAATCGAGAGGTTTGCGAATGTATACACAGAGAGAATTGTTTTCTTTGATTTTTCCCTGAACAATCATGGTAATCGTGGGACAATACGGTATTGGAAAAATTTGATAAGAGTTTCTCTGTGATTCAGATTTTTACCACAATAAAAATATTAATATCTACCACGATATAAGATATAAAAAACGTACGGTTAATTTTACTATGTACGTATTAATATTTTTGCCCTATCATTGTCCTACGATTCTCACGATTTTCAGGGGTGAATTCTAAGAGAAAATTGTCACCGTGTATAATCGACAGAAAAATGAAAAACATGCGATTCACGACTAGTTATTATTTGTTTCCTCCCTATTTGGGGGATAACGCTCGTAGACTCAAGTTAACGACTTAGTTTACATTCGACCGACGAGACATTTATGTGGCTTTGGCTTATGCTTTTACACGACGGGCGTGCACAGTCGGACCGTTACCTCCCTTTCTGTCCCTTGTGTACTTAGCAGGTGTGCACCCTAGCAGCTAGCTTGTACGCACGCACGCACGCACGCGTGTCTCGTTGATATTATCTAAAAATAACAAGTGACGCCAGCAGGTCGTACGAGAATGTCTCGCGGGGGAGTCATAATCATAATAATCGCGTGGCTCCGCGTGCGGGCGATTGAAAAAACCATAAAGTAACGTAGATCACGTAATTTATAACTCTTGATTTTCCTCCAATGTCGTGTATCCGATTAAACGATAATCCGCGGTGCGCGTGCAATCTAAAACGAAACCGCGCCCCGGCTATGCAATTTTCTTCAAAGATCTCGCCGGGAGATCTCGAGGAGTCGATTAAGGAGTAAGTCGAGCGGTAGTGGTAATCGATTTATGCGAAATTCCCGCTACGACGCTTACAGTTCCGGTGTGTTTATTATTGTACGCTCTACCAGACCGGATAACGGTCCCTCAATTAATATTAATTTATCGTAAACAGGATAATCTTGCCGCGGGCTGGCAAACTATATACTCGAGTCATTCCCGGTACGCGTAAACCGGGACGCAACTTTGAAATTAGAACGAGGGACGAGTCCCGCGGATTATACGATTAAAGTGAGTTACTTTTGGCGCCCACGTACGCGGCATAATTCGCCGTGTGACGCCAAATTATTCGTTGTGATCCTGAAATTGTAACGGAGCACGCAAAGTTGGACTCTCTCGCTCGAAGGGAGCGAAACGACGGAGAGGGAACGAAAGTTGGTTTAACATCTAAAACAAACCGGGCAGAAATGTTTTGTCCCGACGTTAGATAGTCCGATGCAAATACCGCGCGAAACTGCAACCAACTTTGTATTTCATGAAGTTGTTACTAGCCACCTGCTGTATCCGCGACAGACAGAAAATCATGTGGCTTTTGCGCGCCAAGTTATCGGAAGTTTCTTTCGTCGGCGGAAAATTCGGCCGAGTGATTAATCGCGGTGATCTATTACGAATTTTTGTCTGTTTATCTGACGCAACTAGGCTGATTTGTTTTAAATTGTCATTTCAGCGTGAAAGTAATCGATAACAATTTACGCCAGCTCTTTTAATTAAATTATTTTAACGAAATTAATCCAACCGATTAACCAGTGGAAGTTGCAGTGTACATATTTCATGAATTAAATTACTAAAACATTTTATATGTATGTATATACGCTTTGCAATATTAAATACTTCCAGATCTTTATTTATATTCGAAATGTGATATTTTGACATTTAATTTATTATGAAACATTATATAATTTACATGGCAAATATGAAATTTTCATGAAAAGTGCTAAAGAAAAATACAACTCATTTCAATTGTTTCGCGGAATCATTCAGACAATGAGCCGGTGAATTTTGATATCCATTTTACACGAAAATAGCCGAAAATTTAGTCCCGAGACCCGCGATCGCCGGAATTTTTCACTTTACACGACATTCGTTTTACATTTATAGCACAATTTGCGGAACTTGAACGGATCAATGGAAAAGTTTTGATCTCCTGGGGATGAGCTCTTTGATGTCACTTAAAATATTCCCTCTCGTAAAACGGTTACGGAAGTGTCGTTCTACAAAGTGCCTAGAGAAAGACGCGTACAAGTAGCGGCAACTTTATCTTG